TGAAGTAACGGACCACATCGTTGGAAACTTCGGTCATTTGCTGAGTAATCTTAACCAGCCATGGCTTCAGCAAGGAAACCTTGAAAAATATGCACAAACGATTCATGGAAAAGATGCTGCGCTGGATAACTGCTGGGGCTTTATTGATGGTACTCTTCACCCAATCTGTCGTCCTGGTGAAAACCAGAGAGTAATGTACAATGGACATAAACGAGTACACGCTATCAAGTTTCAATCACTTGTCACTCCTGATGGTATGATTGCTAATCTTTTTGGACCAGTTGGTAAGTTATCTTATAAGAKTWAAAAGTACTACTACTAGTATTTAGCAGAATTGGTATATTTTGAGGTATTTAAAATAATTAATTCGACTTAGCCTGATTATAAAGTATCTGTTTCTTGTCATTCCTGTTGTCATGGTTTGACAACCACATGTTTCCTGGCAGCCGTGCCAGATTACATATTATTCACTCTCTCGTGGTGTGTGTACACATGGTTTGATACTCTGAGTTGAGAAGTTTATAGTTTTCGTCATTTTTTATTATTATCATTATTTTTATTAGTAGTATTTAGTAGAATTACATATAATCGTTGATATTTTCATGGAATCAGTGGCATAAAGTTACATTATATTGAATAAATATTAATCATAACTTAAAACTGTTGAATCTGAATAAATACCAAGTAGTTAATTTACCAATTTATAGAAGGAAGGACATGACTCATCAATGCCAAGGATGTCTGGTCTCCTTGATCAGTTGCCGATTTACTCTCGAAGTACTACAGGTATATTATAATATTTTCACACACTTATATATGTTAAATATACAGCCTTTTGCAAAAATTATGAGAATTGTTGAAATATCTAAATATCATTATATCAAGTGCATGATGGGTAATCCCTCACGATGGCCTTTGTTCCTTGTCTTTGTAGTTTAGGGATTTTTTCGGCAACGGACCTATCAGAAGTTCTGAACATTTTCTCGATGTCAACAATGAATTATTCTTGCAAACCCGCGTGTTCTGGACAATATATTGATATGGATATTATGATATTTAGATAATTAGACAATTCTCATAATTTTTGTAAAAGGCTGTATATGTTCTATATGTTAAATATGATGGAATGATGTAATTATTAAAGATCGTATTGCATTGTATTTCAGGTGCACCGCTTTGTATATATGGTGATCATGCATATCCCTTAAGGATAAATCTGATGGCTCCATACAGGACAGCAAATATAACCCCTAATCAACAGGCCTTTAATGCTTCAATGAGTTCAGTTCGTGTGGGAGTAGAATGGGTATTKGGGGATATAACTAATTTYTTCACTTTTCTTGATTTTAAAAGAAACCTTAAGATAGGTCTAAGTCCWGTTGGYACAATGYACACTGCATGTGCACTTTTAAGAAATGCCTATACTTGTCTATATGGTTCAAACACTGGTACATTTTTTKATCTAACTGCTCCAACAATCCAGGAATATTTTCAATTTTAAATGTAAATTAAGCAGAGATGTATTCAGTATTTGTGAATTAC